CTTGACAAAAAGTTTACTTTTCGTAAGCCAATATTTAACATGCTACTCCTACCTGTTCTGTGTAGTAAGATGCTATAATCCGAGCAGTCGTTCTATGAGCTGGAGGTGCTGCTATGGCTGATGCATCTGCATGTGAGGCTCTCTTCCTGACTCACATCCATTAGCATAACCATGTATAGTAACTAATATGGGGTTTCCTGCCGTAAGCGTCTGTTGTTTCCTGCTGCAGGTGTCTCGCCCCGAGAGCAGAAGTCACGTCTGTCTCTCTCTCTCCTCTAATAATTGAGTTTTATAAGGAGCGCTTGAGGGAGGGAAACTGGCCCGAGTTCGAGCAAGTCTTATGGGGGTACCGCCTCACCTCACCTTGAGATTTTGATTTTTACAGTTCTTCTGCCTTCCCATTCTGTTCTGTCTTCAGTCGTGTTAAATTAAAGGTGTTCTAGACGATCGTTAGCTGTTTCAGCCGCACTCTTATGAAACGAAGAGGAGACAAGCGCATGAGCGAGGGGGTACTACCTGGTGGATGTCGAGCCAAGTGCTCAAAATAACAAAACCTAGCTCAAGCTGCTCCTGCCCAGCCGTCTCACCTTCACACGTCGCCCACGTTGTCAGGCTAACATGAAGCGTCCAGACCAAAGCGGATAGCGAGAAGCAGGATCAGAGCCGGTGCCTCCTTAACGCTCTTCAAACAACTGTATGGGGTCTATCTCACACAAACACCGCTGAGAAATTCTAAGCACAGTCACAGCGCCGCACTGACATCCTGGAAGAACCACAACACGTAATTAAACATAGTTTCTGGCCATAGTTAGGAAGGCGTGTAACGTCTTAAATACGCGATGGATAACATACGTTAACCCAACATTCACCGCAGTCCGGTTACATGTTCTGGTCTTTTGAGATGCTTACTGTAGTTGCGCTGTTATCTGTATATGATCGCCAAAAGGGGTGCGAGGACTTTATAAAGAAAAAGGGAAGATCATGTAGATCGCGTGCCATCAATACTTGTCCCTACCACGCGTAACCCAAGGGCGTAAACACGAGAGATCCATATTTTGTAATCAAATTGGTATCTATATAAAATCTGCATCAAACACGCAATGCATCGGTCCTTCATTAAGTTTTATTTCACCCAATAAAGCCCTTTGTGCTTCAGGTGTTTGCAAAAGCTGAGCTCAAACTATCTCTCTCTTTCAGTTGGTGAATAATGGTCCCAGTGTGGTCAGCCAGTCGACATTAGAGGTAAGATGTCCTCTTAGAGCTCAGGACCACGAGCTGCTTCACCCTGTGGAAGTGCTCACTGAGGGGCCACTCAGCTGCTCCTCTAAACACACCTTCAAGGTGAGCACACACACACACAAACAGCCTGGTTGGCATGGTGAGGCCATTACCCTTGGTCTATTCTTGGCCTTGAACATTTGATTGTGTTTGTTAATGACTCTGTAAATGTCTTTATGTATGCAGCTCCAGCCTCCAGCAGCAGAGGGTCCCACGTCACTGAAATCCAGCACTGAGCACCTTCTGGCTGAACAAGGAAACCTGGTGAGACATTTTCTATTGACTACATTAAAGTTAATTAAAGAGTACTCCACTGATTTAGCTCTGCACTCCTATAACACTGTCACACATTCTGCTTCCTTGTCAAAACCACGTCACATACATTACCCACAATGCAAGTCAACCACTGACAGTTCAGTAGGAGAATCGTGTGTGTTATGCTAAAGCCAATCTGACATAGTGGCCAAACTATGTCAGATTGGAAGCGCAAGTTAGTTAGCAGCTTCCGTAAGAATGAACACCTCCAATGTTGTATTTAGTTCTCCTTTACTACATCCATGGTTATGCTAGTAGCAGCTAATGTAGCCTTGAGCTGCTAGCCGCTAGCAGAGATGAGAAGCGGGCTACAGAGGTCTAGTAAACTCACTTCTTTCTAAATCCACACCACCAGATTTGTTTCATTTAAAAACAACTGACCCTGACTTGAGTCAATTTACATGCAGCTCCCTCTGGAGACACAAAAGGTTTATACAATTTTTAGTTCTCCTTTAATGCCATACACCTTGAGCTCAACCCCCTCTAAACTACATACCTAACCTTTAGTGTAAATTAAATGAGAGAAGACTGATATCAGTTTCATATTTGTGTGTCCAGAAACTGGACAACTGTCAAAGGCAAAAATGTGTTTTCCCGGAACTCAAAAACTGCAGTTTTTCACTTGATGGCAGACCTAGCAAGTTAAGAAGACAAAATAACACATTTTTGACTTTTTTAACTTGTTGAGCACATTTGTTCCTCATCAGGACAGAGCAGTTGATGCCATGTGTCCCATAGAGACCCCCAGGAGGTGTTTGTTTTTCTCCCTCTCTTTCCTGCTTGACTCAGCATGTGGAGGGAATCATGGTGACGCGAGCCTGTCGAGCTGTTCACTCTAAACACACCACAACAGAGGCGCTTAAATAAAGTCCATGGCTCTTGCGTTGGGTGTTCAGTCCCATTGGGTTTCTTATGGGAGTGTGTTTTCATTAGTGTGTGGCTCTTTACTGAAGTGTACTGTGCCATTTTTCTATTCTTTTTACCCCTGAGTGAGCTTTGCTCATACAGTACATCGTCCAATCAGATTGTAGGAGGAGGGCGCTCTGGCCTCTGAATTCGAGAAAGATTTAAATTATAATAAAATTAGTTCTTTTAACAGAGGAAATAGATACACAGTAATGAGCCCTGGTGAACATCTCCTGCTGCTCGCTATAATTGTTTGTGAGATGAAGTTAATTAGGTTTGTGATTTACTGGGTTGCTTTTTTGCGGCTTGCGTCACTTACTGTAATGTTTGCCAGCTAATCTCTTCTGGTATTCAAATGAACCATCTGTAAATTGGAGAATCTAACCGCATGCTGAAGATGTTTCCAAACCTCCATGCCTCCAACATTTGTTTCATGTGTTAATGGAGTGAGATCCTAGCGTGGCTCCAGATCTTTAAATCAATGCCCACATCTCAGATTTGCTCAGCATTTTTAGTAGAATGAAGAAAGTGGAAAGAACTTGCAAAACATGCTAGTGATATCCACCATGGCTGAAGAAGCAACAAAATGAGCACCACCTACAGAAGCTCAAACACCAGCACAGAAAGCCCTAGGAAGAGATGTCAGTGCTGCCCACAATGGCTGATTTCTGGAGGGTGTGGTGCACAATACACCACATGAATTAGCGCTTACTACTGACCACTTCCTGTGTGCTAGAGAGACACTAGAGTTTTGTTCAGAACACCACGTGTAATAACTTAAATTGAGTAAAAGTTAGTTGCTTCTTGATTGTAATTGGTGAAAGAATTGTATTAAAAGTTCCTAAAACTATCAAGAAAATTCATCTCTGATGCAATATTCAGGGAATAATCTGCAGTTATTGTGTTCAGTATTTGGGTTCATTGTACAGTTTATCAGCTGTTATTTACTGTTATTGTTATGCACTGAATATAATATGAAATATCCATAAAATATGTCACTCACTCAGGGGTTGTCAGTTTACACAATTATAGAAAATGGGTCCCTTAAAGGAAAAGGTTGTGAACCACAAGGCTGCTGATAGTGGAGACTGATACTGAACAATATGTCAGCTGAACTTTTTTTAAACATGAAGAAAAAACTCCCCCACATTTGCTGTCTGAGGGACATTTTACTCCCGCCTGGTGCAGAGGTGTGGGTGTGACTCAGTGTGTACCCACCTCTGAGTGGGTTTACTCGCCTAAAAATTGCCAGATGGCTTGCACTCTGCAAGCAATCATGTTACAATGAGTTTCATGCACAGTAATGTGGATGCACGGTGTTTACTGCACACAGGAGAATTCCTTTCCCTGACTTTAATCTTTAAGGCAGTGCCTCCTCCCCATACTGTCAGTGCTCCTCCCAGGCAACATATGTACCCCTGTAAAACTGCTACTGAGTCTGGGGAGAAGTGCTGTCTGTCTGTCAGGACACACTCAGGCAATAACTGAGCTGCTTGCTGTTGTTCCATAACCAACAGCCATTTCTCTTCTAAATGCAGGCCAAGGGAAGAGTTAGTGCGTCCTAAAGCTACTCACTTTGCTGGGTGTGTCGTGTAGAAAGGGTTGTGATCATATGATGACGATTATGATGTCTATTCCGTTGGTAATGGGGATTGTGTTATGATGGCAGAAGTGTTGAACAGGCCTGGGCACTATGATCTTCATTTTACGCCTCTTCGTGTATTTATATGGTCATATTTAATTTGCCTTGTAATGTTGATGCTACTGTAGTTTAGTACACTGTGTATGTTGGACACCAGTGACTTCTAGCTCGCCCCTCCAAGGACAAAGATTAAGTTGAAAGTTGAAAGGGAGCTTCGTAGCCAAATATCAGACAAATATGAAGTGAGCACGCAAAGGCACTTTAGTAAAAAACGTCAGACAACGATGACACTGACGACACATACGAGCTGGAGGGAGAAGCATCTGTGTCGATCTGTGTGTAGGACGTATTCAAATCCTGAAAGTAGAAACACTGCAATATAAAAGCCCTGCACACGGCGCGGAAAAGTTGTGCATTGAAATGGCCGTTCAAGGAAGGGTACAAATGGGTTTCATTGTATCAAAACCTTTAAATACAGTAATGAGTTTTATATCAGGATTAGGCTTTATTACATGTTCTGTTACATTACATTGTGAAACCATGCTTCCTTCTCCGATAGCACCATTATATTTTCATGATCTATCAGTTCATTGGTTGACTTTGATCAGGCAAGCTGAGTAAAATGACTCTCAGTTCATATCAGTAGTACAAGGTCCTTCAGTGTCAGTACCACAACCAGGGACAAAATAACTTCCACACCCCAAATTGGTTCAACCCTCTATATGAAAATGATGGAAAGTCAAAATACACACCGCTATGTTATTCTATTGAAATCATCGATTTTACATGGATGTTCATCAAGTAGAGGGAGTAGTCCTCCCTTTAGGTAACCCTCCCTTTAGGTAACCCTCACTCTCAAGAAGGTTGGAGACCCCTGCTCCAACATCTGCCAAGTATGTACTTTTTTTTAAAACGAACACTACACTGGGTTCTTTGTATGCAAGATACATTTTTAATAATGAAGATGCAGTATTGATTCATCTTTTTAAATAGATAGGTCTGTATAGTGCTTTTAGTGCTTTTTGATTCCTGCAGAAGAAGCTGCACCAAGTCATTTTGGTGGGGAATTGTTGGCCAATATCGCTGAATGCTTAATTTCCTGCTTGCTGTGTGTTTGACTGTGGCTCTGTCCCTCCTCAGACCTGCTCTACAGTGGAGTGCTGGCAGCTGCAGTGTGATGTTGGGCTGCTGGAGAGAGGAGCCAACGTTATCCTGACTGTGCGCTCCAGACTCTGGGCTGAAACCTTCATCGAGGTGGGACTACAGGACACACTGCTCTGCACTGTGTTGGTCATATGTAATCTGTTAGTACGGGAAACTCAAGTCAAGAGGGAAACGCAGACCGGATGAGAAAACCGACATGAAGTCATACTATCTGTGTTCTCATGCTGCCCCCTGTTGGGCAGGTCACCAAACAACAATTACAGATGTGTGTTGCAAATCCATTCTATATGCTAATTCTATACAGTATAAACTACATTACATACTACTTTTCATAGTATATTTGCAGTTATAATATAAGACATTAATGTACTTTCAGTTCATAATAACAGCAAACGATACAGCATGTCCCAGTTAACGAGGACACAATGGTTTGCAAAGACTTCATTTGTTTACCAGCATCTTCCTGCAGCCTTCTCACCACCATCAACATTTTTCCTCCTAGCTGTGGGCAACAAATCTGTCAGCAGGAACACACTGCATACTCAAAATCTGTGTAGAATTGGTATGTAGTAAACAGTATGGGATGTTTGAATATAATGCTGTTTAATAAATAGATATTAATGATAAATTCTACTCTTTTGTGGAATTTATCTGCACTTATGTTGGGGTAAATATCAGTCTGAATTAACTTGAATGTCCGATTTGTGTTTTAATGTCTCAAAGTGATTCAGAATTTGGGGGGAATCAGTGAATATTTGTACTTTTGAGGTTTGTTTGGGTGATTACAGGTAAACTCTTGCCACAGAATGTCAGGTACTAGCAGCCTTCCAGCCTATCAGTCCAGCCCTTATTAAAATGCTTGTTCATACAACTGTCTTTTGCTTGTCCACAGAGGGCCTATAAGCAGTATGTTCTGGAGTGCTCTGCTCACTACAAGGTGGACAGGATGCCTTATTCTATTCCCCCCAAATTCAAGCCATCGGGATCCAAAAAGGTAACTTCATCTGATTTCTTATTGGATATTTACAATGCAATGAGCTTGCAAATGTCAGCTTATTTCCATGTGAGTGTTAGTGAAAGGTGGTACGAATCTTTGGAGGATCATCCGAACACTGTGCTTTCCGGTTGTTCAGGTGGTGACAGCTGTGGTGTGGAACAAGCCGGACAGTCTGTTCTCTGTTCCAGTGTGGATCATCATCCTGGCTGTTCTAGCTGGGTTGCTATTACTCTCCCTGCTTGTATATCTACTATACAAGGTACCAAGCTAATAAATAACTCTGCTTATACAGGTAGCACAGAAAACAACAGTTTCTGACTGGCTAATGTGTGTTAAAATATCAGGACACCTCAGGTGCAGTTTAAATGGGGGTTAGTTAGTGTTACTACAGGGACACAATGACACAGTTTTTGACAGATACAGTATGTTAAATCACACATCACATGTAGTAAAATTATTAGTAAAATGTAGTAAAATGATTAGGCTTAGATGGATTACTGAACGGGCCAACCTGTCTCTGTTTGAAGGGATTGATAACAATTCTAGCTGAAAAATCAAATGACCACAAATAGACAAATAACAACCACAAAAAAAAATACTCACAACAAATACAAAGACGGACGAAATGACTGCAAAGAGACACAAATACAAAGACACACATAACTGTAAAGAGGCACAAACAATTAGAAACATATGCAAAATGACTACAAAGAGACACAAAATAAGTATAAAAAGATGCAAACTAACAACAAAGAGACACAAAACTACAAAGAAACATAAAAGGCCTACAAAGAGACACAAATTGTCCTCAAAGACAGATAGGCTAAACATCCACAAAGAAAGACAAACAAACATACTACAAAGAAACAAAAAAAACAACTATAAAGAGATGCAAAATAACTACAAACGACGTTGCTTTGTCATTTGAAGTAGTTTTTTGTCTCTCTTTCAGTCTGGGGCTTGAAGCCTATGAAAGGGATAGGGAACATTGACTGGTCTAGACTTTGTGCCAGATTGATTTACATGTGATCTTCCTCTCTCCCATGTTTTCCTCCAGATGGGCTTCTTTAAAAGGTCAGATCCGTACGGTACAACCATGGAGAAGGCCCAGCTCAAACCCCAAGCGTCCTCTGAAGCTTAGATGGAGCCTCCACTGCAGCTGTTCCAAAGAACTGGAATCATTGTCACATTCCCAAACAAACAAGGAAACTTGCTAATGATTAGCAGGCAACCCATTTACGAAGAGACAGTTATGGGTGCTGTATCACTGGAATAAACAATATCTGGTGCTGCACTAAAATGCCAAAGCAGGAAAGACTACAAGGGTAATGCAGTTGAGTATGCACTGCTGTTTTGGACATGAATTTGTACAATCAGAGCAAGATTTATGAAGCTTCTGCAGAAAGTCAAGGATTTGCTCCTTAGAAGCTCATCCCCGTGGAAAAATGTTTCATTGGAAAATACTCCTTGTAGTCCAGTGTGTTGAGCCCAAATCGATACAGGGAAAAAAATGCACCTCCAACAAAAGGCACTAATGCTACAGTATTTCTTTGTTCCTGAAAGGTGTATTTTAAGCCATGTTTGCAATCCCAGTGTTTTGTTAAAATTCCTGCTTTTGTATGATTTATACACCACTCTTTATTTATGGCACAATGTTTTTCCTATTGGTTGTTGAATGTTGTACTGTACTGTCTGCAGGACAATCCTGATGAAACTGCAATGTTTAACTTGAATTATTCCTCTCCCATATTGGGAGGTATTTTGTGTATGTTGTGGTGTTTATGTAATGTATTCATTGTGTTATGACCCATTGGTGTTGTGGCCCAGAATAAAGCCTGATTTTGTATACCCACCCAAAACATTACTGATGTGCTAGTTGTGAGTAAACAAAATAAAGCTGAGCCAATTGCTACTGACAGGAGATACTGTTGGAAATGAGAAGTGCAATGACCAATGCAAAATGAATCAGTATCATCATGTAGATTCAGCTTTCTCTCTTAAAAGTTGGTATGATTCCAATATTCGACAAATTAATCAGCAGCATCAGAGTCATTGTAGTATGGAATTTACAGCTGTGTTTATCAGTTCTCTGTATTTAGTCATTCAAAAACTCTAATACTCTCCTACTAATGTGCTAGTGGTCCTTTAGCTCCCTCTGCAGGTAATACATGTATACAGAGCCTTCTGATGTTGGAGTGCCATCACAAATATTAGTATTTGAAGGTGCCTGTTAACAACAGCCCCTGCAAAGTGGTGAATATGACCTTGAGTGGACATTTAGAGATCATATTATATACATGGTTAATGGCGAATTCAGTGCAAAATGGCATAGTTTAATATTACAGTAAATATTGTGCCTGATGGGTATGTACACCGTTAAAGTCTACTGAAGCCAAAGAACTTGATTGCTAAACCAAAAGAGACAACAATGAAGTTCAACAATGAACAATGAACTGTGTCCAGTTTTAAATGTTTTCAACCTCACCCGTTTTAATGTCTTATATATGCAAAAATGTTGCAGTTACCTCGACAGAGGCCAGTTTCAATGTGAGCAGACATCAGATTCTCAATCTCAAACATACAGAGACAAGAGGAATAAGGAGAGTGCCAGCACCAGCAGCCACACACTGAGCCGGCACACAGCGATTACTATTTTCATTTGTTTATTATCTACAGGTTCATCATGTACAATGCGCAATAAATAACTGGACACAGACATTTTGCTTTCATAATACACAGTTTTATTAGCCATTTTTGACAGGTAGTTTTCTGTTTGGGTGCACACAATTAGTTAACTTTATTTGTTAATTTTGGGAACGTTATGAGGTTATTTTTCATTAAATGAATTCAGTTTTCTTTGAGTTACCAGCTTCTGGGGGTTTCATTGGGCAGCGTTGTCTTAACATTATTTGTGGTTACTGTAAATGTTTTCTTTTAGTCTATCCCCCCCGTGTCAGAGTGGCCTAATTTGTTTCAAAATAGGTTTACATGTTTTAATGTTAAAAAAAAAAAATCAAATCAATGCAGTTGTATGTAAGGTCAGTTTAGTCTGTTCAATTTGTTAACACAGCCTGAGTTAGGTTTTGTTTGTTTAGGGTTTGTTTTTTTATGGGCTGAGAACTTTATTGTATATTTTGTAAATTTGTAAATACATTTTTTTTGGGTGAATAAAACTGAAAATTTACCTCTGACTCCTCATGTCTGCCAGTTCGGTCCCTCACAGAGAGAAACCCGAGGAAAGTAACAGAAATAAATGAAGTTTAAAGGACCAGGGTGTAGGATTTAGTGGCATCTAGCAGTGAAGTTGCAGATTGCCATCATTTAAATACAGCTCAGCCTAGAATAAACAATGGTGGCCGTGAAAAGGCCCTAACAGTAGACACATGTTGGTTCAACATGGCAGCCTCCATAGAACAGGACCTGCTCGCTCTGTCGATATAACAAGCTCTTTTTAAGGTAACAAAAACACAATAATTCTTATTTTTTCAGGTGATTATACACTAATGAAAACATACCTATGAATATTATATTCCATTACTGCCAGTAGATCCTCCTAAATGTGACCTGCAGTCGCTCTCTGCCCCACTAGGGGGGGCCTGGCCACGATTTAAAGGTATTTTCTTCCCCCAGGGCCAATACAGGTGTACTGTACATTCCAAAGTAACTCAAGGACCTTTACTGTAAAAACACACTTGCAAAATCAACTGTAACTTGGTTGTAACTTAAAAGGAATAGCTCAACATTTTGGTAAATACGCTTTTTACAGAGTTAGAAGAGTAGATCAATATTACTCTTATCTGTCTGTTTAATGTAAGGCTTCAGCCAGCAGCTGACTAGCTTAGCACAAAGAATGGAAACAAGGGAAAAGAGCTAGCCTGGTTCTGTCCAAAGGTAACAAAATCTGCCCACCAGCACCTTTAAAGCTCACTTAGTGGTACGTTATATCTCGCTGTTTAATCCACACAAAAACTTAATATAGCAATTCACCATTTTATAGCAGTTATGTGCTGGACTACTTCTTGGCTAAAGCAGTAACTGTTTATCCCTATTTCCATTCTTTGTGCTAAGTTAGCCAGTTGCTGGCTTTTGCCTTACATTTAACAATACGACATGGAACCGATCATGGAACTGAGAGATAATCCATCAGCAATTAAGCATATTTCCTAATATGACAAACTATTCCTTCTAATATCCCTAGTGATATAGGCTGCAATGTGATTTTCTTCAAGACATTGTGTTCAAGGTGTTGAGATGAGTTTTTGGATAAAATTGCATTTGTATTTTTGTACAATTTGCATCTTTTATGATAATCTTTTAATTAATTTTGAATGTACTTTGTTTTAAAAATAAACACTAGAGATGTCCAGAGCCAATCGTAAGGAGCCATATCAAGGCCGATACAGGCATATTTTAAAGAATCTGTATTGGCTTAAATAGACCTGGTCAAACGTCAGGCCTTTCTTTTTTGCTCTCTGTGTTTTGTCCACCTCAGCCTGCTAGTGTTGGAAAGCTCACCTCCTTTACAGTTGGCCTCTGCACTGTGAGCGTTTCACTCACAGTGTGTGAAAGTGAAAAATTCTCTGTGCACTAGTGGATGACACAGAGGTTGGAAAAATGCACAGATACGCAAAACTCCCACGTCTGTCCTGTACTTGTGTCCCTTTTGTTAACTTAAAATAAACTCTGACCCTTTAAAGAAGAGTACTGGATGTTTTCTTCCACTGTTGGTGTTGTGATGTACGGCTCTAAGTGACATTTGTGCTGAGCGTGTGCATGTGTGCTTCTGCTGAGTTTGTCTGGATGGATTTTCCCTCCCAACCTGCATACGGGGTGTTGTCTGTCTGTCTGTCCTCTTCCTCTCCTCTCCCTCCCTCTCTCTCTCCCTCCCTCCTTCTCTCCCTGCACGTGTGTGTGCTCCCAGGCTATAAAAGCCACACTGTCACAAGGGCGCTATCCTGCAGAGGAGCTTAAGTCAGAGAAGGAGACAGACAAAACAGAAGACTGCACTTGCCTTCCCCTGGCTGTGAGTAATACATTTGCTGTCTTAAGTATTTACACAGCGCAGAGTGCGTCATTTTCAGTAGAGCATGGTATCAGTGTGCATGTACTGCATCTTTTATGCCTATGACTTTGAGTGTGCAAGGGCAGATGACTCAGCTGTTTGAGTTCGGAGCCTTAGTGAGCCATGAAATGCAGGACAAATATGAACCTAAGTAGTGTTTACTGCAGAAACATCTGTAGATAGAATAGACCTCCGTGGACACATCTCTAACAAAGATCCATAACTGCTATTTCTACACTTTTGAATTGTTATTATTGTTTGTGTTCTGACTTATTCTAATGTATCAAACCCTGAGGACACATGCATTAGGCACACAGACACAAAACTGATGAAAATCCTTAAAACATAAAGGAATATTTTCAGGTTTCTGTACATTAGGTTATCGTGGTTAGAAAAAGTAAAAAAACAAAAACATTATCCCTATACACTCCCTAAGGAGGATCATTTCAAGTCGATGTTAGTGTCTCTCGGGACACCCTCAAAACAGCCCCTTGGGCCACTGGTTTCTATGGTAACATTCTATCCCAGGTTGTTTTCCTGCTGACTGATGACTGGTTGATCCTCTGTGATACCTCCTATTCAGCATGTAAAGATGGGTGGCTTTTGCACCCATTGTGCTGTGAGTCAGCAGACAGGGTATTAGTGTTTGGGTTTGAAATCTGCGGAGGTGTCCCGGCCCGGTTGGGCTAGCTGGGTCCACCCTCATATTCCCTGTTTTTGTTTTTATTACTCTGGCCAACAGTGGTGGACTCAGGGCGTATGAGGGGGAGGGGCAAGAACAGAAAAATAAAATGGGCACCAGCATGCAGAACGTTGTGATGCAGTTATGGGGGAACAGCTTAGTCAGGGGTAGAATTAGCACCCTAGAGGGCATATTTTGTCCACTGGAAGGGTACCCTGGGGGGAACTTTACCATGTTTTAAGTACCACAGGGGCATCCAAGCGGGCACTTTTGCGGCTCTTTTTCAAACATCGAGTCCACCAGTGCTCTTCAACCCCGCTGTTCAGATCCTAAAGAATTTATTTTATTTTATTATTAAACGTCATCCTAAAGCTGTCAGTTTGTTTTTATTGTAAGATGATCCTTGTATGTGTGTACATGTTTGAGACATTAATATGAAGGGCCAGGGGTGTGGGTGGATGGGATCTGGACAGCCTGACCGACTGCAGCATTGATAGACATTGATCTAAGTTGCTGGTTCCTCTTTCTCCTGTGCAGGCTTCCTCTATCTAGCTGTAATCATGTCCAGAAACCTGCTGAAGAACCCCTGTGGGGAAGGTAAGATAATATTTTCTCTTATGGAAGATCTGCAACTATGGTAACTGGATCAGGGGTGGATCTACGCCCCCCCCAGTTTTCCAGTTTCTACTGTAAAACTGTAATTTTCCACTTTTATGTGCCTACACTGGCCAAAGTATCAAATAGGCAGGAAATAGGGTAGAAATGACTTAGGCCCCCAAATAACATCCACGTTCACACGAGCCCGAGTCAGCTTGTGAACAACAGAACACAGTGACTGAGCTGCTGCATCTCTATGTACAGTTGAACTCTAACCAAGTCAGAAATGAATGTAACTACTGCATGCTACACTGCATTAAAAATGACAGCATGTTTATCATGAGAATGTTAGCCAAAAGTTAAGTCACTTGCTACAATAGAGCTTTTTACCTCTATACCCACTTATACCTAATTTGTCTGTGCGGTGGGTCAACAAAAGTTGCACAAAGAACAGTAAGTTAAAGGTTAATACGAACATATTAGCACACTATTAGCGAGCTAATAGTTAGTTTACGTTAGCTTCACAGTTAAGTAACTTTGCTAGCTAGCTACTTCATTGATTTAACTACATTTGTACTTTGATGTTTTTTTTAACATTAAAGCATGTAAACCTATTTTAGGAGTCCCTCCATATTAAAATGTAGTTAAAATGGCATTACATTCGATGAA